TCTTCTTTCTCATTTGTCTTCTTTTCATTAGACCCGTCATGGGTGATAAACTGCATGCAACTGAGGAAAACAACCAAAGCATTTCTGTTAATAACACTATACCGTTCCCCCAAACATAACATATATCGTTACCCTGCTTTCAGAGGTCATAATTTGCAGTAAAATACTATAAAAGAGGTTTCAACAAAATGCCGTTGGAGGATTCTTCGTGCGGAACACGTTGTTTCTGGACTACGCACACGCATCATTGCAACTTCGGGAAAGCGCCACTTCCCAGTGTAACCGGGCTCATGTAGTTTGAAGGTTTTGATTGGTTGTTTGTGTTCCTTCAATTCCATTGATGCATTCCCTTCGGTCTCTCTTATTTGATTGGCTAGTTTGTCGTCATGTTTTCCTCCCGACTCTTCATTGATCAGTTTGTTGTCTTGGTCCAACTTCAATTTTGTTGAAACTAGTTTTAAGCTAGTCTAAACCGGTTTTATATGTAATTGTCTTATGTTCGCAGTGCCTCCTTAAATAGTATTAAATGGATTTATGTGCATGTTTGTATCGCCGCATATGGAGTACCATATCTGGACGAATTCTCGCATCCGTGTTGTAATTTCTCTCCTGATGATTTCGTCATTCTCGCGTTTGCAGATTTGATTCACAACGTCCATTTGAATTAAGCTGTGAGGTTTCTCGCCATGTCCTCAATCATGGTATTCTTTAACGTCACTGCTCTATTCACTTCAATATAAAAAAGCTTGACCAAACAAATAATGACAGTTCGGATCAGTACCAACAACGGGAAGAATGAAATGAGAAAACCTGCGGAACTCCTGGAATCTGTCTCTGCCAACATACTTCCAATCAAACTGACAACTATAGGAACAGAGTCGGAGTATCCTAATTGAATCACCAATTTCGGTACTCCTGACAGAAGGAATTGCGGCGAGATCGAAGATCGTGCCCTTCCGATCGTCGAACTGAAATCGTCGGTTAGGCTAGTTGTTGATACCTTTTGGATTCTAAAATCTAGGCACTAGAGAAAGACGCCTCGCCCGATAAACAGTTTGTTCACTGGGATCAATTGTACATTGGGAGAAGAACAAGCAGACAACCTTCCATGTCGATTCCGTTGCTTTTGCCCTCCTGATGTGGTGATAGTCTTATGCATTGCAAGACAGCAATCCTTGATCAGTCGAATCTTTTGGCTGTCTTGTCTATGCTGCAAGCCATTCGATAAAATGCTCACATTCGCCCTCCCTCAATACCCGATCTTTCAAATTCGCCGGTAGTGGCTGACAGGTTTCACTTTCTGGAATTCTCCATACCTTAGGAAACGGTTCATTCCTGAAAAGTATTGCCTAACTTGATTCTTCCGTCTGATGGTGACTCTGGAGCATCGTCCCCTGACAAGACAAATTATATTTCGTTTGATTTAACATAGTTATCGCGTGGCTACCTAGTCGCATCCCAGAATCGCTACTGGAGAATCTGAACCACTAAGGTCAATATAATGATTCATACGCAACGCCCTCGTTGATTTCCGGACCCTTTTCACAATGCCCTAGCACCTTTTTTCGTCGGATGAATGTTGTAAAAGTTCGACAGAACCCGTTGGCCTCGCTTACACTTTTGTTGCTGTCTCCATCCTATGATCAAAGTACCAGCACGCCAACGGAACTGTTGTTCGTCTTGACAGTTTATTTAACTTTCACGTTGAACTCACGCTCTTCTCATTAGCTTTTTTTCGAATTGTCATGCCTCGGAAAGTCGAACTGTGTGCAAATTTAGACACATTGCAACAATTAACAAATTGAATAACGTGGTGAAGTTGAGGTTTTCAAGTGGTAGTTGAAAATCGTCATTAGTCAGTTGAGAAAATTCCAGGCCCCATTCTTCTGAAACTCAGTTAGTAATTACCTAATTTGGCAGCTGTTCTATGACAGTCTCTGCATAATACTGAAAGAAAAAAATTCGATCAATCTATCACAACTTCGCATCATCAGTAATAGTGTGTGTTTTGTGCCCTCAGATGTCAAATTTTATGTTGCAAAATACTATATTCCTTTGATATGTTGAATCGCTTATTATTGATTGGTTGAGGTTTTGTCTAGTCTCCATAATCAAATTCCTGTTCTGACCCTGCTATGATAAATAAGCATCTTGATCCTCACCAGAAATCCTCAAATCTAACTGATGTTCAGCAGTAATTTTCACAGATTTCCTTTCATCCACATACGTACATTTATGCCTACATACACAAATGCATACATCTGAGTAGGACGGTAGTGTTAGAATTAAAACATTCAAATCGCAACGCCTGGAGCACGCAATTGACAGCTACTTAAAGGGGCTTTACAATTAATTCAAAATATTTTCCTTCTATGACTGTTTTCAGTGGTCTGCGTAAGTTCATATCGTCCACGCGGAAACGTCCAGAATATATCTCGTAAACAGAGTAGTATTTGGATCCCAGGCTCATGGTCCAGTACCCAATTTCAATCACACAATCTTGCTGCTTTCTCCAATATCACTGGTTATTCGGTAATGCTTGAGTAATCTACGTCTCCGGCTAAAGTTTATTGAGTTAGTAAGACCGACTGCGCCAAACTGTTGTTGGTATTGTTTCTATCACTTCACACCATACCACTTATTTCATAATTAGGCTTGTCCGGTTCGGTATTCGAAACCCCTGATTCCTCCCATTACATTCTTGCTATCGTACTGGGCAACCGAATGTAAATACTCCAAAAGCCATATTGACTGTTTATCTCTTTTATAATTTGTGACCATTTTACTAAACGTTCATACCGTAGTTTTACTATTCAACTGAAAGAAGAAATCCACATGAATGTCAGATGGCTCAGGTTGCCGTATACTAGGAAAACTTCTCGTTTGGCGATCACCACTTCTTATTCGAACTTCAACCGCCTAGTGTAATGCGATCACTCATGTTATTCACATGCTCTGGGTCGCATTTCCTATTGATCATCATCATTGCACTATATGCCTTTTATTGTACCGCAACAAGTTGGAACCTATGCATTGCTAGTTTTGATTTGCCAAGAGGTCCCTATATCTACAAATCGTGTACACACATGCAAGTGGTTTAAGTCTTCTTTACTGGCACACTTTTGGATCTTTAGTAGGGGGTTTCGAACCCTCCCACAGCTTTCGTCCGGCGCAATGCTACGCCTATCTTATTGGTTCGTCACTCCGAGACCCAGTGTTCAGGGTAAGTCGCAGGTCCTCGTGACTACAGGGTTATCTCCACTATTGTTCATCAGACAATAGTGTGTGATAAAAACAAAATTAAATTTGTTTTGTTTTGAAATCGTCCGTAATTAACAGTAGTAAATTTGCTTTATTTCATATTTTATCATAACATTTGCCCTAACCAATTTCTTCATTTTCACTAAAACCCAAATAATTCAGGTTTCAAAGTCAAAGCCAAACCGAATTTGCTCAAACAGGAAACCCACAGTTTACTGTGCGCGCTGCGGATTCTCTTCCGATTGGCCGAAGAAGAGAGTGAGCTGCGCGAGGAGGTTAGTTCGAACTGTTGCCTTTCAATATTTTCATTTGCTCCCTCAGTTTGAGCAGTTTGTTTGCCACGCGCGACACTGACTAACTGACGGATTCACAACCGAAGCTAGTAATGCAGAACCGGGAAGATGTAATGCTCTCTACAACCATGACCAAACTCAGAGTCCCATACGTTAAATCAACCCGTGTAATTTTGAGAGAGAAAAATCGGAATTATAAAGAATGCAGCCGGACTCATCTCTTGTTCCTCGATTAGAGAACAGAGTTCCGTTCCAGGATATCCTAATCGCTGAAAGGAATCTATATGGGTCTGAACTGACAGAAAGTATTGTGCTGGACAATGTTCAAAACAATTCGAACCAGTTCCCTTCGTATTGCACATCAGGTCACTTGATTCCGTCGTGGTGGATCCTTTTTACCGCATGTTCATGTTTATCAGTTTTTTTTCGGTCTAACAATAACATTTAATTGTCTAGCGATTTTAAACAAGACGCACTGTATACCGTTGTCAATAAACAACCCCTTTTATAAATGTCACTCGTAGAATCACAATGTCAAGTGTATAGGACATCATAAGTCACCTCTCACTTGTGAGTTCAACGTATCGAGAGAATTTAGGGCAATGTAATTCAAAGAACATATGTTCCTGGGTGATCGCATTCTTCTCTGTTCAATCCATTTCCATCAGTGCATTTCACTTGTTTCTTTTCCTAGACTGAAGATCTCCTGGACCGGGTCATTCTGGATGCTTTAGCATACTATCACGGACTGGTGATCGACGGACATCGTCAAGCCTGGGACACCTGTCTGATCCTTATCATCACTCAGCTCACTCGTCTCAGTCCGGCAACACGATTTCACCGGCATGCGGCCAATCTCTATGGTAGTGTGTGCGATTTAGTCGCTATGGCTGGTGGCGTTTCACCGGAGGTAGCGGCCCTTATTCGTCTGTTTATGCTTCGTTGCGGTGCCTTCTTCGTCCCACCTTCGTATCGAACGGATCCGATCTAAAGTTTGAATTGTTCTAGCAGATCTGACCTTAACCTCATTTTAACACTGACCTTTGCAAATAAATGTGGACTCATTCCAACTCTTACACAGCTTGTTTAATGTCCATTGGCCTAGTACTAATCGGTTGATCGGAATCAAGACCGGAAGCCAAAAATAGCTCTCGTGTAGCTTCTTCTTTTGGATGCAGGGTGACATAACTCGTATAGTGTTTTGCATTATCCCACTACTGTTCTTTGAAAACCGAGGAAATTGTACGATTCACTCTCCGGGTACCCTAAATGCCTTTCTGGACGATATGACCACCGTGTCCTCTTTGTCCTTCTGCTCACCCTGATCATTTTGATGGCTGTGAATTCATCTATCATTATCTTTGTTCTCTACAGTATACTCACAGACCGCGATTTATCACTGAATCATACGTTCTCCCTCCGTTTATGCACTTCACACGTGATACTTTTGTCATCATCGCTTGCTCTGACCGACTCTGTTTGTCTCATGCTCTATTCCCTTGTACGTCTCATTANGTCTCATTACCTCATGTACACTGATTGGTGATCTTGTCTCTATCCCCGGATTGTTCCAACTACCAGTCGCTTTCTGTAATCTCTGACGTGTTTCGTCGCACAATCGGTCGCATACAAACACATGCCCATATGCGTTCACATATCAAGCCTAAACAAAATATACATACGCATCTGGTTGTGGTTTGTGTTTGTGAAGATCACCTGTACCCATTCGTACCAGTCTGTTCAGTATCCCCCCTTAGACTCACTCTCAACGTATCAATGCGCCTTTTGCCATACATAGCATTCAACAACTGTGGTCCTGTTGGCTTACGACCTCATTCCATTCCGTGGCCCCGAGCCCAGCCCTCCCGCTCGCTCCTGTCTGGAACGAAGAGGAATTCTTCATCCGAGTGTTGTTGTTTTTTATGTTGTTTTTGTGTCTGTCACTTGTATGCACACTTACCGACACGTACATGAGCGTGCGCGTACTGCAGTTTGGATTGCACCGAACCACCACCATGTACTCCAACACGCATACCCACACACGTATCTACATACCATATACCCATGCTGTGAAAGTTGTTTGCCTTCTGGCAGTCACTTTATCGGATACCTACTGCTTTTCGCGTTTTATCAACCGGGACGTGGCGTGTAGTCGTCATTGTGTATTGCCACCCAACCATTTTGTGGGCTAGTGTTGGTACCCTTTTCTAGTCAAACAAACGAGCTTCTTCGTACACAGAGGAGAGAAAACTTGATCTGAAAAACTATATGAAGCACCATGTAGAGTGGTTTAATGTGTTTCTGTTCACCTAGAGTCACTCGTGTAACCTCAGATGTTTTCCCTAAATTCGCCTAGCCTTCAGACTTCGAATAAGGTTGGGACCTATGGCAGTTTTTCATCGCCTTCTGCATTCCGTGGGATGCTTTGTCTTTCCATTCCTTGTGGCGTTTGCTATATTCGATGTCCACCCAAGGTTTCGCTTGACGTGATGTGCTCCTTTCAAGTCATCGCCGGAGACTTCGACCATGTCCATCATATTACCTTTCTCAATGTCCAAACAGAGACGGTTCTAGTGGCACTCGGTTTATTGGCAGCTAAAGGGGTTGGGTATGGTGTTACACCCAAAGTGCAATGTGCTACTGCGAAATTGGCAGAGGCCGGCATATACACTTTTGTTGAATAGTGACACCATAGACGTGGTTGAAATCTGTGCTACATAGATTAGGTGAGATCTCAAAACTTGTAACCAAAAAATATTACTGCAACATTAAGTTCCCTAGATAAACTGGAAGGGTGAGTACGACAAAGGTAGCATTTGTCATTCTGCGAAATATCCCCGAAGGTACTCGTGCATAATTGTACTTGATATGTTACTGTATGACCTCGAACCATCTGTTTTTTTAGGTAGAAACTGTTTAAAGACTATTTCAGGAACCTTGTCAAGAAAGGATCGGTATATGAGACCAGTTTCATCCACTCTTCACCGTAATTGTCCACAGGTTCTCTGCGAATATCCGTTGAAGAGCTTGAAATCAGTCTAGTCTGCCCCCTCCTCAAGTGCGTTACCTTCTCGTCGAATATTAGAACACAGATACCTAGTTTCACCTGTTACGTCAGCTGAAATCAGGACCAAATCACTAGTTGAGATAACATTGCCATGGTCGCTGTTTGCTTTGGTCCTCTCCACCTCTATGGTTTCCAGTTTCTTATGGTTAATTGTATCGATCTGTTTCTGACTGAAGGGATATTTCTTCGCGGGACCGGATTGGTGCAACTAGGAGGGTTATTTGTACAGTGGGTGCTTTCTACTGGCACCCTAATCAAGGTGGCATTTATAGTGAGGTACGCCGTCAGAGAGGTTGTCCATAGTACATCTGTTTTATAGGGGCGCGACACGGGCAAGGTTTTACATGAGGCAAACAAAATAGATACAAAAAAGGGACCATATAGCAATAGCGTATGGTTCATGTCCAGGACGATTTCCCTGCATTTCAACAAACGGAATACCGGAGAAAACGCCGTGTTTATACAGGGCTTTAGCATGGCAACAAAGTAAATTAAAATACAATAAAACACAAAAATAAAAAAGGGAAAGGGTTGAAGGAACACGTCACCAGGATACGGACAAGCTAACGTAAGGTTCCTTTTGTTGAAAGGGGGGCAATTTCCATCGGTTTATAACAATTTCTTCTGCAAACCTTAGCAATTGTTAATGCGTGACAACCCAAATTAGATACAACCGGTTTTACCAGCGTCTCCTTTATCGGGCCGCCCATAGTGAGTCAGATTGCTTCAGCTCTGCCGATGCGAATTTTCGCAGACTTGTGAAGGGTGGATCTATCCATCTATCAACTCAAGAGCTATTCTCGTGCGTCGGTAAATAAAGTAAACCCCAACCAGAATTGGTTTGTGCTCATGGCAAAAGTGAAGATCCTTGGCACTGATCAAATTTGTCCGCTTCTCAGAGGCGTGCACTCTTAAGGAGACGTTCGGAAAATAATTCCAGCAAGTCAGCCAACATAACTTGTGAATGGTTTCTGATCGAGGCCTAACAATAAATCTATCAGGAAAAATTGCGTTGTTATTTATTGTCTCTCGTGTACGGACGCTTGCTTTTCTGCTTCGAACATAAATCCTTATTCTACTGTCATTATTCACAATTCCTGTAGGGACTGAGTTTCATCCCTCATCTGAACCTTTGCGCACTCAGCCATCTATTCATCCCCTTCTTAGACTATAGTCTGTTTTCATCGAAATATGAAGGTTTTTCAGGCATCTTGGCATAATCCAATTGCGCTATTTCTCACGATTTCGGGGGTATTCTCAAGCCGAATGAGGACAGGAGTACTGTAACAACCAGCCCAACGCTGGTCGCGTTGCCATTAGCATGTTTTCAGCAAATCTACTCCTTTCTGGACCGAGCAACGGACTAAATGTTGTACATTCCTGGGTAACAGTCTTGTAATGTGTGTTTGCGACGTGTCATCCTACCGTTGATAAACCATTGTTAATATCTGACTTCCAACCTAAACAGACAAACTCAGCTACACGATCATGATATTGGGTTGTCGCATAAGTTCCCACCCTGTGTTTCATATTCACATATAGACACCATTTCTCGTCTCCACTGACGATTCTGTATAAGAAACGCCTGTTGCCATGAGTTCTTTGGTGTCGAGCGAGATTTTGAGCAGCAATGCAAAGTCCCTTATCCTTCTGCTTTTGGGTGGGTTCGTGCGGGACCCAGGCAAACCAACCCCGAGCAGTTCTCTCAGCTATAGATGACGTCCTCTCCGAACACGGCACAGATATCTCTGGTAGCTTTTCTCGCTTTTTCACTTAGATTAAAGGCGAAAAGAATAATCTGTCTGTGCATTGGTTAAATTTAGTTGCGCCATATCAAATACGGTGGGGCGTACAATTGACAGAAGATGGTCCGATTCAGTCAGTTTGTTGCGGTTTTCTTGCGTCTCCTCGGTGACTTGTGGGTCAGACTTTGGCTAGCCGAAGGCTCCGGTTGTGAACTCCCTAAAGTAGTTCAGCTGCTTTGGCCTGGGCAGCCCAACAGCATCGTGCCCTCGAGCAATTAATGAACCTTTTTCTTTTTTATAAAGCTTATTGTACCGTGATTTGTTTGGCACACAGTCTGAACTGGGGCTTTTGGGAAAACTATCTGTTCGAAGAGAAGGCACAATAAAGCTAGGTTGCACGACTTAAGCTAAGGCAACGTTCGTTGCATCTCCACTGGCACGGTACGGCAGAAAACTGCTGTTTATATCATTGAAGTCTATCAGTTCGCACACGAATACGACAGGGCCGAATAATCACACTTTTACCATTACCAAGGCAGTGACACTGTGACTGACAGTTCTTTCTGCGCACAAAGATTAGGTTTCTGTTTGCAACCGACTCCGCAAACCTAAGCAACCAGAGGTTGGTGTTAGCATCGTGTAACCTGGCTCTTTTATACTCTGTCTTCAAGTTTCTCTCGGAAAACAAATGACTTAGTTTGCTACATGTGTTTGTTACTCGAACGCAGGTTGTATGTGAGGGAATCTCGTTCAACGTCACGCAGACAACTATTTCATTTTAAATTTCAGTTTTCACAACCAATAACCATGCGTTTCCGTGCGTCGGTTTTCGTTGCTGTCCTTTGGCCGCTCGTTTAGAATGAAGAGAATGATGAAAATTAGAATATTGAAGGCCAATTGAAGCAGAAAATATGGAATTCATACGCATTGGTGTTAAGAGAATAATAAGTAGATGCCCGAGCACCACTGTTTGCGACACCCAGCCATATCGCTCGGTGTCTCTAATCATCGGTGCCCCTAATCTCGGGATCCCCAGCCAGGGAGCCTAACGGGACGATTGTGACTCAGTCTCCTGGATAGCATTTGCATATCCTCGTACCAGGTTTTAGTTTGGCCACCCTTGACATTATTCCAACCGCTAACTGCCTCCGCAAACATCGCTCGCCGTAACAACCTACC